TGTAAGTATTTTGTGCTTTAGCATCTCGCACGAGTGTGAATGTTAACATGACAACATGCTTACCATGTGGCTAGATGCTTATGTGATAACTTAAATCTTGAGGGATTTCAGTGGTGAAGATGGTGCCTTGAAGTCCCAAGAAGGAGAGGGCCACCCCCTCTCCTTGTTGTCCTTGATATGGACCATTTTTGGCCTCTTGAGGGAGCATCTAGCTAAGCTTCATGTTGACCATGCCTTGGCTGTTTTTTGTGCCTATTATATCATAATATGCCTCTGTTTATTGTTGGTTTTGGTACACCATGCATGCTTAGCATACCTACCATGTAATGCCTTGTTATTGCCTTAATATGCCTTAGGTTGTTAGCCTTTGTTCAAGCATGTTTTAGGCTTAGTCTTGTGAAGCTTTTGTGCATGTGTTTTCCATGTTTTAGGTCTGTCCATAGTTGTTTGGGTTGGATTTGGCATGATTAGTATAGTCCCTTTGCATTCCGGCTTGTTGGCCTTAAGTATGTGAACGTATAGCATGACATTTTTGCATTGATTTGGTGATTTGGAACCATCCATCATGTCATTTCAGTCCCCTTTGCATGCCTATATGTTTGCCTCGGGCGCATCTTTAATGCTTCGAAAGCTTGTGTAGCGTGCTCCATGTTTTGGCATTTGTGCATGCCTTTGAATTTGGGCCACTTAGATGCCATCTAAGAATCCCCTTTGCATGGTCTAGGTCTGCCTTGAACCTATTTTAAGTCCTCTTAGCCTTGTGAGGCTTGGTTGACTTAGCCATGGTCCAAGTCCCTTTGAGTTGCTTCAAGTACTTGGGCCATTCATTGCATGCTTGGTCTATTTTGTTTGCTTGGTTTGACACCATCTTAGCATGGTTTTCAAAGCTTATGTTGCATGTTAATTGTCCATGATATCCCTTTTCAAGTGTGCTTGAGAGTTCCTCTTTTGTGCCTAAGCATTGGCCCTCTAACATGTGCATGTGTGTATGTGTATTTGGTCCTTTATTTTGGTCACTTTGGCCACTGTTTTAGGCCTATTTAGAGTTGCCTAAATC